CAGCTGGAGTCGCCCGACGTGACGGTGGCAGTTGTCCGGCTTGAGGAGCGGCTGGTGGTGGTGGCGTCGGTGTACGTGCCGGGAGGTGAAAGCCATGCCCTGCGGAACATATGCGACAACTTGCGACGAATCGTGACGGATACCAGACAACACGCGGATAGGGTGGTGGATGTGATCATTGCCGGCGACTTCAACCGGCACGACCAGCTCTGGGGAGGAGACGAGATATCGATGGTGAGGCAGGGCGAGGCGGACCCGATCATCGACCTTATGAATGAATTCGGCCTCAGCAGTCTACTACCGCGTGGCACGAAGACGTGGCAGAGAGGAGAGCACCAGTCGACGATCGATCTTGTCTTGGCGTCTGAGGATCCGACGAGCTCGCTGATCAAGTGTGCGATACACGAGACGGACCATGGGTCGGACCACAGGGCCATTGAGACGATTTTCGACGTCTCAGTTCCTACACCGGCACCACGCGAGCGCCTACTCTTCAAGAACGCGCCGTGGAAAGAGATCAACGCCAGGATCGAGAAAGCACTGGAAACGACAGCTTGTGAAGGGACGGTGCAACAAAAGACGGACAGACTGATGGCGGTGGTGATGGGGGCGATCCACGCCCTGACACCGAAGGCCAAGCCGTCGCCATACTCCAAACGGTGGTGGACGACCGACCTAACACAGCTTCGTCGGATCTACACGTACTGGAGAAACCGAGCGCGTGCAGAAAGGCGAGCGGGACGAGCCAGGGCGAATTTAGAAGAAAAGGCAAAGGCGGCATCGAAACAGTACCACGACGCGATCCGTCAGCAAAAGAGGAAGCACTGGAATGAGTTCCTAGCGGACAATGACAACATATGGAAGGCTGCTAGGTACCTGAAAGCAGGCGATGAGGAGGCTTTCGGCAAGCTGCCGCAGCTGGTCAGGGCAGACAAAACAACGACAACGAACCACACAGAACAAGCAGAAGAACTACTCACCACCTTCTTCCCCGCCCTCCCCGAAGACATCGACGAGGAGGGAGACAGACCGCAGAGAGCTGCGGTGGAGATGCCGCCCATTACGATGGAAGAAGTGGAACGCCAGCTATTCGCGACAAAGTCGTGGAAGGCACCCGGCGAAGACAGGCTCCCCGCAGCGGCCTGGAAGCAGACCTGGCCGGTGGTGCGGGCCTGGGTGCTGTCGATTTTTCGGGCGTCTCTGGACGAAGGGAAACTGCCCCATCAGTGGAGGCACGCAAAGATCATACCCCTCAAGAAACCGGGCAAAGATAACTACACGCTGGCAAAAGCATGGCGACCGATCTCGCTGCTGGCCACACTAGGTAAGGTACTAGAGTCGATAGTGGCGGAGAGGATATCACATGTGGTTGAAGCCTATGGCCTGCTGCCGACGAATCACTTCGGAGCTAGGAAACAACGATCGGCCGAGCAAGCGCTCTTGCTCCTCCAAGAGCAGGTTTACACGGCATGGCGGGGCCATCGTGTCCTCAGCCTCATCAGCTTTGATGTAAAAGGAGCGTACAATGGCGTGTGCAAGGAAAGACTGGTCCAAAGAATGAAAGCGCGAGGCATCCCGGATGACTTGCTCCGGTGGGTATCAGCTTTTTGCTCCGACCGCACGGCAACGATCCAAATCAACGGGCAGTCGTCTGAATCGCGAAGCCTACCCCAAGCGGGCCTTCCTCAGGGGTCACCATTGTCTCCGATACTGTTCCTCTTCTTCAACGCAGATCTAGTGCAGAGACGCATTGACAGCAACGGAGGAGCGATGGCCTTTGTCGACGACTTTACAGCTTGGGTCACGGGGAAAACGGCTCGAGATAACCGCAAAGGCATCGAGTCCATCATACGAGACGCCATCGACTGGGAGAGGAGGAGCGGCGCGACGTTCGAGGCCGAGAAGACGGCCATCATCCACTTTACCCGCAATGACAAGAAGTCCGACCCGGAAGCGTATATGATCAAAGGACGGCCTGTTCAACCGAAGAATCACACCAAGATCCTGGGAGTCATCATGGACACTCGACTCAAGTACAAGGAGCACATAGCAAGAGCTTCGTCAAAGGGCCTCAAGGCAGCGCTGGAACTCCAACGACTCCGAGGACTGTCGCCAGCAACGGCGCGACAGCTGTTTACGGCAACAGTCGCACCGGTAGTGGATTACGCCTCGAACGTGTGGATGCACCGGTACAAGGACAAGCTCATGGGACCGATCAACAGAGTACAGAGGGTATCGGCTAAGGCGATCGTCGGCACCTTTCTCACGGTTGCGGCGAGTGTGGCAGAAGCCGAGGCCCACATACCTACGGCGAAAGAGCGGTTCTGGAGGAAAGCAGTCAAGATGTGGACAGACATCCACACGCTACCGGAGACGAATCCACTCCGCAGGATGACGTCCAAGATGCGAAAGTTCCGGACTACCCACCGCTCGCCGCTGTTTCAAGTGGCTGAGGCTCTGAAGGGTATACCGATGGAAAGGGTTGAGACCGTTAACGCGCTTACGTTGCTACCATGGGAAGATAGACTCCAAGTCAAAATCGGTAAGGAAGAGACAACAGTGCTCGAGACAACCAGCACGGTCCGCGTGGCGGTCAGCAGCTCAGTAAGAGGGGGGATGGTAGGTGTCGGCGGTGCTGTTCAGAAACGGTCGGGGAGAGTCGACGGCGAGCCTGAGCATTTCTCCTTCACACTAGGTGCGAGATCAGAACAGAATCCCTACAGCGCAGAGCTGGCAGCGATAGCATACATGTTGAGACGGTCTCTGCGAGGGGTCACGGGCGAGAAGATCACGGTGGTGACGAGCAACAAGGGGGCGGTGCTCTCACTCAAACAGCCCCTCCAGCAATCCGGACAAGCGTACATACGCAGTGTGTACGATTCGGTGGAGGAACTTCGAAAGGACAACAACACCATCACAGTACAGTGGGTGGCAGCAAGTGAGGAAGACGAACTGCTCAAGCAAGCAAAGACACAAGCGCGCGAAGCGACCAAAGACGGCGCCACCCCGCAAGTACAGTTCCCCATGATGAAGTCCACGACGCTTAATGTGGCACGAGCAAAAGTGTCCCAAGGACGCGTGCTGCCCGAAAAGGTCGGACGATTCTCCAAAAGAGTCGACAAAGCGCTGCCAGGAAAACATACCCGCCAGTTGTACGACCAGCTTACTTGGAAAGAAGCGACCACTCTCGCACAACTTAGAACCGGAATGGCTAGACTGAACTACTATTTACATCGGATCGACGCGACACCCTCGTATTTATGCGGATGTGGACAGGCAGCAGAAACTGTGGAGCATTTTCTGTTCCGATGTACTAGATGGACAACGTTCCGAACCGAGATGCTTCAGTGTACCGAGACGCAGAGAAGCAATATCTCCTTCTACCTAGGAGGCAAGAGCCCCTCAGACGATGAGAAATGGGCGCCAAACATGCAAGCAGTTCGAGCGACAATACGATTTGCGCTGGCAACAGGCCGTCTAGACGCAAGGCGATGAGAGACGGGATTGGAGGACACCTTTTACACATCAAACCCGACACAACCTTAACCATTTAACAACCCGTGCCACAAGCAGCAGGCACTGCTTCAGCCGCCGTAGATAGGACGTTGAACACTTGGAGAATAGGCTTCAAGATGGCATGCTAAAAATACAACCAAACCACGGGAATCCGAAGCGAGACGGCAGACTTGGAGGAGTAAGCAGGAAACGGAGACATCACTTATGGGCTGCAAGGAGACAAGGACACAAGCTCAGCAATGTATGTGTAATCAGTTTAGGTGCCCTTTCGGCTTCGCCGCCGGGCGTAATAAATTGTGTGTGTGTGTGTGTAGCATCGCTCCAAACTCAGCCGGTTGAAGGGAACTGGAAATGGATTTTGCGGACATTGCAAATAGCGCCTAACCAGAGCCAAAAACGACTTTTTCTACATGGGAAACGGGGTGGTCGGTAAGGTCCATGGAATGCCAGCTTCTAGACCTCGCCTTTCCCATATCTTAGATGGAGCCAGATACAGACTCTACGGAAAGGCTTCATGTCGGGACGAGCAAGATCTTTACCCTAGGCTTGAGAATGGTCGCCATTAAGAGTCAGAACCGGCTCCTGGCATTTGGCTGCAGCTGTGCGGAACGGCAGGGCGGATGAGTACTGTATGTAGGGCCTCGTTGCGTGGCTGGGGCTATTCACCATCTAGTCAAAATCGGCTCTTTGAAGTAACGAACCCCAGTTGTATGAAGGAAATCGGAGTTGGATGCCGACCTCGCGGACAGTAGGCACAGCCAAAGAAGGTCGTTGTTGCTTGGCTGGAAAGGCTCTCCCCTCCCCCCTCCCTCCCCAGGAGCCGAAACTGGCTCCTAGAAAAAGCTAGTTGTGAGTCCGACGGCCAGGCGATATGCTGATGCCTGCAAATTTCATATTGCTTGGGCTATGTGCACAACGTGGGTCCATCGTCTTCAGCGCCTATGGCAATAAATCTGCGAATCCGTAGTCAAGGGCTCTTACAGATGCGGCAGTTAAAACGTAGAAGTTTTCTGCTAGGAACTTTACACGAAAACCTCGACTACATATTTAACACCTCATATTCTTGTTGTCCCCAGGCTTGCGAGATGTCGTCAACAAATTGTGACTGGCAGGGCGATATGTGGGATGTTGCAAGCGAAAGCCGTCACGAAGCCATAGGCGCTAACATTCAACTTCACTATGAACGCGCGAAGGACCTCTGCCAAACAAGTGGTAAGCAAGCAATGGGAACCGCTTGTCAGACAACTTCTAGTCGAGCATAGGCTTGACGGCCGATGACATCCTCTCGCCCAACTTCTGGCGCTTTCACTTTGATAGTACGTCACCCTCAATCGCGGATTCCTATTCGGTACTGAGCTCCTTTAGTGATCGCTGCTCGAGATATGACTGCATTCGTGATTGCGACGATTCATTTGAGCCTCTGTATCGAAATCATCGCCCGTTTCGCAAAAAAAGAGACGTACTTAGCACAGATTCTCAAAGACATGCGGCAGTTCAATGTTTGCGGTGAATTCATGTTGACCGAGATCGAGCATGGTCTCGACGCCAAGAACCTGGACACCACGGCAACACTGCTAGATGACGGATCGTTCTTGCTGCACACGCCGGCTTTCGGTGCCGCCAAAGCCATGCCACCAACTACTCCCTTGGTTGGCGTTCCTCGCACAGCAGTCGTCTTCGCCCAATTGCTGATCAACGGCAAGAGCAGAGGCGTCAAACCATTTATCGTGCCAATCAACGACTCAACCCGAATGAGTCCCGGGATTGTGTCGCGGGCCCTGCCTATCCGACCCGGTACAAAACCTCTAGACCATTTCATCACGATGTTCAACAACGTAAGACTTCCTACCAAAGCCCTGCTTGGTCCGTCCACAAAAGCCGAAGACGAGCGAGCAGAGTTTCCGGACCAGATTTGGCGCGTCTCCGTAGGAATCGCAACGGTGTACAGTAAGCGTCGACAGGTCGGAGTCGGGAACCGCGGACAAGTTGTGCCAATCATGACCTTTAGCACGCAGCAACGCCCCATCCTTAAAGCTCTCGCTTACGGAGAGGTCCTTCATGCCTATGCCCAGTGGACCGTCCGGGAATTTATGAAACTTGACAACGCCGTGGACGTCCGCAGAGGCCTTGCGACCGCTTTGAAGGCGCTCGTGGTGCGGTCATCTCGGTTACTTGTCGAGCTTGCAGAACGATGCGGGTGGCAGGGCTTGTTTGCCTACAAACAGATCAGTGAGCTGGCGTCCACTTTGCAAGGAAATTCGATTGCAGAGGGTGACAGCCTAGTCATCAGCATTCGTAGGTGTATTCTCTCTGACTTGTAGTCTTCTGGCTTACACGTGGGACAGGACTTGCGTCAGAACTCTTGGCGCAAAAATACTGCCTGCCTCGGCCAAGCGACCGAACGAGCCCGCTGGCCAAGTATGAAATCGGCTTTGTTCGAGGAGGTGTCGGAGAGGGTGGCCACGATGGCGGGCGGCCATCGGAGCGACAATTTCAACGCTACCGTCCTCCCACACTGCAGGGCGATGGTGGAGGCCATTGGGCAACGCATGGCTTACGAAGCAGCGCTGCACTCCGATACTGTCGCTCCGGAAGTGCTTGATCTCTTCGAGATATGCTGCATTCAGGAAGACCCCAGTTGGTATATCGAGCACTGCAATGACACCCGAACACGGATCTGGGAGACGGAAGAGAGGGCTTTCAAAAACATGCTGCCTTTGTTGCCAGGATTGGTGGATAAGGTCAACGCCGGAGACTATATCACTGCTCCCATCGTTGACGGCAAAACCCTGGAGACTTTCCTTTTGGGTTTGCCTACCTTTGGTAATGAAGAAAGGGCTATGAGAAAGCCGACCCCGGGACCGAAGCTTTGAAAATCAAGGAGAGAATGAGAGAAAAGAGCTTTGGGGTATGGATCAAGACTGTTAACCTCCTAGCTGGCTTTCGTGCTGTTGATGTTGAACAACTCAAACTTTCTGAAGCCAGACGCCTTATATTGAGGATGAAAGCCAAAGTTACAAGACCTGCCCGATAGGCTTGGGGTGGGCAGTCGTGTGGTTCAGTCACTTCAGCTTCATGACTTACATGTAACCTCAGTCCCAAGGAAGTTTACTAACGTTACTACATAGTATCACTATATTGCTTACCTCACAGGGTATCAGAGTATATCTGCACACTCCTTATACTGATTCGACTGTTGGATACGATATCTTGCTAGTAACAAGCGGTACCTTGACGCAAACACTCGTCCGGTGATAACGAACGGTACCTTGACGCAAACACTCGTCCGGTGATAACGAACGGTTTCGGGTCGGACTTATAGTCGTTGCCCTGCGGTCGGAGCAGAAAGCCAATCCCAATCGAAGCGCATCGTTTGACATGCCTCGCGCTTTTGTCTTATGAACTAGACATCCCTTGCACACGCCGTGACACTTCATTGTCCTGGTCTTGTATGCACCGTGTTGAATGACGAGAGCGTTCGGATGTTGGTCGGATGGGAAAACGGGCTTAATCGCGCAGCATCGATGTATGGCAGGGGCGGCGAGTGTGTGGCGTTTGCCGCAATAGTTTCGAGTTGCTCGTGGACAAGCTCCAGTTCTTCACCCGTCTGCTTCGTGGTCTGGTCAGCTTCGAGCTCAAGTCGCGCATCATCTCTTCCTGCCGCATTGCCACCCCAATCTGCCGCTTGAGCGCCTCCGTCAGCCATCAGTACTCTGCGAGATTAATCAGGTAGATCCAACCCTTCTGCAGCATCACCATGCCATCCTTGCTTCCGTCACCATCGCCGGCGCTTCGTCTTCTGTCGCTCGCTAGCTCGGCCGTGCCTTCAATCGATGCCGTTCGTGTTGTATTTTTGGGAGTTTTCCGGTGCCTGCGCTGTCTCTTCCCACTGTCGAATTACGGTTTCGCTTTGGCGCCAGAAAGGGGTGAAGGAAGAGGGGGCGAATGGTCCGCATGCGCCACAGTCCCCCTGTTGATCCGGCCATGACGGGAGCTACGACACACCACACACACCCGCCAGAATTTCCCAGGCGGCACTCACCTCAATAAAGAGGGCTTGCATAATACAGGTCAATTCTCTGTTGACCTCTATGCCGAGCCCTTACCTGTTAAGGTAGGAAATCGTCTAGGCTATTGTTACTTGGCGTAGAATGTGAGTCGTCCGAGGCCAAGAGGAAGCAATTAATTTGGCTGCTGGGGTTTGACTATCGGTCAGCCATCCTTCTTCGGACGGTTAGCAAACATTGAGGTGGGCGGCGCGCATCTGTTGAAGGGAGCTTTCCCTAATCCCCGCGCTGGATTCCGAAATAATTTTTATCGGTTCCATTTCAGGGCAACTGCGCGACGGACGGGCATTCCTTCTGCCAGCCCGTTACCAAGCAGTCCCCAGCGGTCTTGTCCGATCCATCACCGACCCGTCATCTCGCTTCAAAAAGCAGAAAGGCGGACAGTCATCAAGACTGGGGAATGAAACTTGCCTCAGGCGTCAACACCACTGCAATCCTGATGACAAAGACGTTCGCCGTTTTGACATTGCCCCGAAACAAAAGCGGTACTCACTGACATTCCCATCCCGTTTCCACTTCTGTAATCTTCCTTTTTTCTTTTCCCAATCACGGATTGTCATCTCAGCTCAGTAGAAATCTGACAAACGTCCTGCACGAGCATGCGTCGCCATCTGCACCAAAATTTAGGATAAATGATTCCCGGCGAGACTGCCATCGTGCAATGAAGAGGATTCCGTTTCTCCTAGAAGAAACGCACAAGTCCAACCGTGGGTGAGGCCACAAGAGTAATCCTGGCGACAGCTCCTGCCATTGGCATTGGGAGAGAACTTGGACGACTCGTTAAAAGGCGTCACGCGCCCCGTCAGTACAGGTAGGGAGTCATTCAAGCCCGCAGACCCGGTCTAGACTTCTATACGTACCCCTAGGGTGCTGTTTTGCGAGAATTGGGCATGGGGCCGTAGAACCAAAGAAAGGAAAATCTCCATCGCAAAAGCTGTCCATCGAGGGGAGGAGCGACCGGGCCCATACCTGTCCTTTTTCCCCATGAGAAAGAGCGCGGCAACTTCCCTATATTATCTCCTACCACCTTCTGGACTTCACGTATCTTCTTCCCATGCCACCAGTTAACCACACCCCCCTTCCCCCTCCCCCACCAGGTCGCAACGCTCCAAGTGCTGCTTCTGTTCTGGCTGCTGCTCATCTGCATCCCACCTTTACCTTCTCCTCCCTTCCGTACTTCGTAACGAGACAACCTCTGAAGAAAACCACACCACGCTCGCCATCGCTATTCCTGCGCTTCAACCGGCAGGATGGTTTCCGCTCCCCCTGTCTTGGCCCTAGAAGCCGCCCTTAAGACCATCCCAGACCATAGGGCTCCTGGCATTACAGGCACTCGCATTGCTGCCATGACCAGCATCTGTGTTGAAAACGTTCAGGTACGATACGATATTCGACACGCCGTCGCATCTTGAATCACCTGGTAAATTTGGCTAACCTTTATTTTTTCCCTTCTGCAGTATGAGTCGGCCCTCGTCCAGAAGCTGTTCACCTACTTCATGATGGCAACTCCTCCTTATAAGCTCGGCTTTCTATATGTTGTAGACTCAGTGGTCCGCAAGTGGCTTGTGCAGGCTAGAAGCCGTCAGCAAGTCTGCGACGAGAATGCCGCAGATGGCACTTGCGGTGCTGGCGTGCATCGACTGACGGTGCTGATGCCTAACTTCATCGATGACCTACTTCGAGCTTTGCCCGACGGCCACAAGGTGTGTAGCAAGTTCTACAATATGAGGGTGTCCCCCGTCGCCATTTCCTACCCCGCGCTGTTTACAGCGGTATCGACGTTAAGTTGATTGCATACTACCTGGCAGGCTTTCACCCCTCTCAACATTCTCTCATACTTGGGAGGCAACAGTGGGAGTAAGAGATTGTGGCACACTCACACACGTCGGCATTTGTCTGTTCTTAATGTACAACTGAACTTAGCGAAACACTTACTGACACTGCTCTGCCTTCCGTAGGACAAGTTGCATAAGTTGATTGGAATTTGGCGCAAGGCCTTGACGTTCCCTAACGAGATGATAAAGTCATTCCAGAGCAAGCTGGATGCTATGCCTGCCCCCGTTCCAAGTATGTTATTTCTTTGTTCGAGTATTGGTTTCCATCTCTTTGCTCGCCAACTTCAAATTCCGTCTCATTCTAACTGATTTGACCGTTTAGGCCCAAACCCGGCCCGGTTTCCTCTGCCAGTGGCTCAGTCCCAGGGCCCGCCTACAAGGATACAGTTTTCAGACCAGCCTCGGATACCCCAGCTGCCTCGTCAGGTCGCCGGTGTCTCTCCTAACACCGCTCAGCAGATGGCGATGTTTCGGATAGCCCCCAGTTGGGGCACTACCGCCGACAGGTTTGCTGTCATGCTCACGTCCGTCAGCGGCAGCCATAACGGTGCTGCTCCCGTGGTATCTACTGCCCCCACAGCCTCCAGCCTTTCGATTCTGCCTGCTCCAGCCATCGCTGCGGCGCCGAATTACTACACTTCGGGACAGAGACATGGCGGCTCCGCTCAGCCCAACGGTAGCCTCAACCAGCATGGGTACGACAACCGCGCGCGGTCCCCGAGCCGACACCAGGGTCCCACTCGATCCGGATGGCCCAGCCACAGTGATAGTAGACGCAAACGTCGAGGCAGCAAGCATCGTCAGCGTATTCTGGCGCCGAGCCGCGATGGCAGCCGCAGCAACGGCTCTCGTTACGGTTCAAACGACAAGCGGGTCGAATTCGACCGATCTCTTCCCGCCGGCCACATCAAAGGTCTTAGCCGAACCCTTCTGAGCAATAGCATGCAGCCCAGATAGGGTGGAGGCTTTGGTCCGTGTGATGCTAGCGACTACAGCAACAACTCTAGACCCGTTGTGCCTGGTCTGATCGTCGAGGCGCCCGACGTCGAAAATGGCGCCGGTGTGTCCCCAAAGGCCATCAGCCGCCGCATGCAGAGGGCAAAGAGCGGCAACGACGGTCCTCGCTCTACCCGTCGCAGACGCGATGCATGTCATGATGACCCTGGCCGCTGAGCCGTAGGCGCAACCGTGGGAACCGCCGTGGTAATCCTCTCGACGGTAAAAGGAACTCTGTCACCAACGCTCAGCCACTCCCGTAGCCATTTCCCTTAGGTATCGGCACCCTGCCTAACGGCATGCCGACCTACTCTCGGGCTTCATGTTCCCGGCCACAAAGGGCAACTATTAATCGTTCGATTCTCCCACTTCCTTAAACTGTATATGGGATAGATATCGTTTACGTTGAGTTATTGATCACGACGAGTGAGGGTCTCATCTCCTTATTATACCTTAAAGCCTAATGTCTGCAATACGCGTGCGTCACAGACAAGCATGCACCACCAAACCGCGACCATGCGACCTTTCCAAGAGAGTGACTCACCCGTAACGCCCTAGATTCGCCAAAATCAACCAGCGAGATCCTCGTATAACATTTTTATGTCTATCTGACAGGTGCATGAGCTATGATCAGCTAGGATTACCGCAAATACCACACCGCCTTTGCTTCGCCTCAGTCCTCGTTGTCCGATCAGCCTGTGATCTCCTCAAACCTCTGGAAGACAAAATGGCCTTGAATTAAAGCATGCCATTACTGAAGGGCCTCTTTCCAAGGAGGGAGAAGCTGGTCCCGGATTGGCTTTCGAAGTCAGTCAGCGGTCAGGGGTCCTGCTCAGCACAGGTCCTACGGCAGAATATCGCAAGGGTACCTGACTTGCCCTTGCCGCAAAGACATTGATGTAGTCCTGGGTGGTTCAAGTGGTCGTGGTAGGCTAAGAAGCTTCCACGCCCTGGGCGAGTAGGAAGAAGCCAGTTTACAAGGAACGAGCTTTTTATGGCTTCGGTTTCACTATAACTGCCGGCAAGCATTGTCATCCGCATTACCTGATGCTGCTGGGTGGTCTGTGGCGGAGCATATGCATTTACTACGACTAAAACACAATGAGCATCTGTTAACGCAATCATCCAGCACAGGTGGATATGAGTCATAATTTACGAAAGGGCAAGAAAATGGCGGAACAGGCTCTATATTGGACAGTTTGACCAACAACTCTATGAACCGGCATTATGTTGAGCATGAATTCCGTAAATTGCCAGAGTCGCGTTAACATTATTTTCTCGCAGGCGATTTGCATAGTAACGCATACATTAAACATTAACATCGCACGAAGAACTTTTTCTCGCAACTCTTGACGAGCTCTTGTCGGATACTGGTGTTGGCGATCGACGCCGAAGCACGTAGATGGGATTCTACATAATGACGTTCCGCTTACAGTGTACTGTGGTTACTCAGGCCACGATTTGCACGAGTCAAAGGAAGATGTGAAGACCACAAAGCTCAACATGGAAGCCTTGCGGGGAGCATAGCTTACATCAAGACTGTTGGCTTGAAACACAGGGGGAAAAAGGGTTCGATATACCATTCTTCTGCTGGTGATTGCCTCTGTGTTCCACCGAGACATAGTTACTAGCAGAGCTGGATGCTTGCCAATACTATAGTGCTTTGGCGGATTGTATATGTTTCTTTGCTTTCGAAGATTCAAAGACAGAGGGGCAAAGGCCGGTGCATTATTCATTAATGCCCTGCGGGGTGTACTGTACTGCATGGCATGAAGTAATGCAACCAAAACATGAAGATCTATCGTGACTTGTCAGGTGGAAGGCGGTATTGTCAAAGTGGCTGAACTTTGGACTTAGCCAGCCAGCTATGTCACCAACTCAACATACGTACTGCACTTCATACATGGTCATTAAATATCTTGACGTTCAACTTGTATGGATCAAAGAACACTCGACTACGGCCACCACACGTGAGTCGTTAAGTATAATTCTAGACAATTGTACCGCTAACTGTGTTAATGTCCTTTTCACCACTTCCACTGACGCAAACAATTATATTATCACTATGTCCCATTGACCTCGCCGCTTCAACAGCACCATGGATGGCATGTGCGGACTCCAGCGATGGAAGGATACCTTCAAGTTGACATGTTAGCCGGAAGGCACTCAAAGCTTCCTCATCTGTTACTGTAAGAACTTCAAGGCGCCCAGAATCCTTCCAAAAACTCAGTTCAGGGCCGACGGCAGGGTGATCCAGGCCGGCAGCAATAGAATGGCTGTGTCTGACTTGGCCATGATCGTCCTGCAACACATATGTCATAGCGCCCTGGAAGACACCCCCTCTCCCTCTTGATAACGCAGCACTGTGTAAGGAGGTGTGAACACCACATCCTCCAGCTTCAACGCCTACCAGCCTGACTCTAGTGTCCTCCAGGAACGGAGGGAAAAGTCCAACCGCATCTACACCAGTGCCGACACAGGTGACAACCGCGTCGGGTAGCCGCCCTATCTTCTCTAAGGCTTGCCTTTTTGTTTCCGCACCAATAAGCGACTGAAATGTTCGGACGATAAGAGGAATTGGATAAGGTCCCACTGGTGTACTGGCTAAATAGAATGATGTATCATCCACGACACAAGCACGCATGGCCTCGTTCATCGCGTCCCGGAGAGTCTGGCTTCCTGTCTTGCTAATAACAAGCTCAGCCCCCAATGTCATCATCTTCCTCACATTTGTCGATTGTCGTGATACGTCTTTCTGAAAATATTGATCAATAGAGCGTCAAGTCAAGGATTGTTTTGAGAATACTCACTGCTCCAACATGGAAAATGCATTCCAGGCCGAACTTCGCACATAAAGCAGCTGCGGCAACGCCATTTTCACCTGATCCCGTCTCTGTCACAATTTTTCTCTTCCCCATCCGCCTGGCGAGGAGGATTTGGCCCAAGGCGTTGACAATTTTGGACGATCCAGTATGGTTCAGGTCCTCTCGTGCAAACCATATTTTTGCGCCGTTGGCGTATGCCGTTAATCGCCCAGCCAGATGAAGACGGCCCGGCCGGCTAATGTAGTCGTAATGATTTCGGTACTCTTCCCAAAAGTTCGGGTTGCTGGCTTCTCTGATGAAAGCGGTCTCGAGCTCTGACAGAAATGCCATAAAGCTTTCTGGTACGTATTGCCCCCCATAAACTCCATAACGCTTGGATAGTGCCGACATATCTGCGGTAGTTGTTGTTAGCGATTGCCGTTGTTGCCCTCACCGACACCATAAAGTACCAACAGGCCGCTAGGGTGCAGCAAAGCACTCGTATTTGTGGGCGCGTAGCCCCTCGGGAGCAGCAGCACGTTGCAGTTCAGAAGGTGAACAAATTTTTTTATCCGTTTGTGTAAACTAGGCGGATTGAATGTGTCGCATGACGCTGTGTTGCACTGTAACTTCCGCAGCAGACTTGAAATACTTTCCAGTAGTTGTCACGTCAACTGTCAGTATGAGCATCATCACAATTCCTTGAACCCAATCGAGGGATAGGCCGTAGCTCGTACGAAGAAAGCAGTACAGTATCAAATCCTACACAGCCCACTCCGCATGTATTAGAGATAAAAGTAATCAAGCTGTCAAAGGCGTCTCTTTGGCATTATGGCTCAACGATCTCGGCCAGAAATTGCGAAGAATGTCTTGAATTGACGCTCATTGCCAGTGGATGAGGTGGCTACCGAATATGATGCGCATCAATTCATACGGGGTAGACCCGTGTGTCCGGGCATAGCCACATTCGGCAGTTTGATCAAGCTTCATTCTGTAGATTCAAATTCTAGAGAGCAGCTTTAGGGCTCTGAATGAATCATGGCGACCCGTAGGGTCAGATGGAGGCACGGTACTGTACAATGGTACATAGCGGGATGAAGAGGAAAGAAAAGTGCGTTACAGTTGAATTTGGGATCGGTTTCCGGGCTTTTGCTTTGAGTGGTTCAGGTCTACGGATGTTTGTGGATCCTCGCGACGACAAGCCACAAGACGACACAGGTGGAAATTGAGCAAACAGCTGAAGGGGCGGGCCCATAACAAAAGCCACGATTGACGCTTTGAGAAGGTGTTTGTCCGACCCAGCAACTTAGTGCAAAGAGCAAGTTCTTGCTTTCACAGCATCGGTCATCAGCATGCAACCAAGGTGCCACATCTGTCTCTCCACGCACTCCATTAGCATGCGGCTCTAATTTTGTCTCTGAGGCTGATTTCGGTATCGACAGTACAGTTTGCCAGTGGCGCGTCGCCACACAGGAAGTGGTCAACTTTGCTATGACTCGTGGTGTTTCCTGGCTCGACGCTAAACCAAAGAGTCCAAAGCGACTCCATGCTGATGATTAGTGCCCGATGCACATTTCAAATGATACAATCGTCTTTCTTGGAGTCAGGCTATTCATACAGTAACCAATGGGAGTAGAACCCTCATAAATGAACGACATGCCACGCACATACACAAAGTTTTAGGATGATCTTTTATACCATTACATTGTCGTGAACCGAGACGTTTCCTGTCTTCGATCCGCTCTCTAGTATCATAGGTTACCCGTGATGCACCAAGTTACAGTACCACAAAGTCTATGTAAACAATGTCATCTCTTCAGGCTTTATCGGCAATCTCCCCATTAAGCTTTCCGTTTCAGCAACACGGGTTTTTGCCTCCTGACCTACCGTGCAAACAACTTTCCGACCCGATATATCAACCTTGGGAGCAGTTAATTTCTCAATTACCACGCTTGAATAAGTCATCAGAGATTCAGACTAGAGTCAATGAACTTCCAACTCTCGGTACGAAGGGGTTACACGGCAAGGCAGAATGGAGACGCGCCTATGTCATCTTGTGTTTCTTAGCCCATGGCTACATATGGGCTTCGAATCCGCCCGCGGAGGTTCGTTCGTCGTCGCTGCGAAGACTCAAAAGCTGATTTTAGTTTAGGTCTTGCCTCAAACCATCACTCTCCCACTACTCGAAATATCCGACTTTCTGGAAGTACCTCCAGTTGCCACTTATGCTGCTTTGACCTTGTGGAACTGCAGAAGTAGCAAAACCGACAAGGTCCAGCTCGAAGGTCTCACAGTAGAGCATACTTTTACCGGCACAGACGATGAGGCTTGGTTTTATCTGGTTTCGGTGGCTATGGAAGCACAAGGGGGCCGCATCATCTCTGTTGCTACTTCAGCTCTTTCGCACATGCTGCAGAGGGACTACACAGCTGCAATGGCACTTTTGCACAGTCTCGCGGCTGAAATTGACAATCTTGGCAATATCTTGGGAAGATTACACGAAAACTGTAATCCTGATGTGTTTTTCCACAAAATCCGACCTTTCCTACAGGGCGGCCAAGAATCAGCAGGGTTCTCCAATGGGATCTTCTACGACGAGGGGTCTGGAAAAGGAAGCTGGAGGCAGCTCAAGGGTGGGAGCAACGGGCAAAGCTCCCTTTTTCACTTTCTTGATATCGTCCTGGGGGTGCAGCATGTCCCAATCCAAACCAAAGCCTCCAAAGACTTTCGCGATGAAGCTTCCAAATGTTTCTTTCGAGAAATGAGAGAGTACATGCCTGGGTCTCATCGTCGATTTCTTAGCCTTTTCTCCGACCTCCCCAATCTCCGCGATTTCGTTGCCTTGTCCAAAGGGAACGAGCACCACCAGGAACTTTGGGGAGCATACAGGCAAGCTACAAGAAGCTTGACTGGGCTGAGAACCAAGCACTTGAGCATTGTTGCTCGTTACATTATCCTGCCATCGAGACCGACTTCGCAACAGCCCAACGACCAGGAGGAACTCTACGGTACGGGAGCTACGTTGCTGATCCCGTTTTTGAAACAGGCTAGGGATGAGACAAATCAGGCAGGAGAGAGCCAACCATAAAAGTTGGTGTTGCCTCGGAACGCGGGCTTTCAGTAGGACAGACAGTTTCAGCAATCTTTTACAACTAAAATGAAGTTCCCAACCCGTATATCGAGATCAGTAGTTACCGGTATGATCTACCACAGAGGCGGTGGCCAACAGCAAGGGTTCCCGCTCTGCTCCACACTCCTAGCACTACTTTACGTTCAAAGAATGTCGGGACTTGGAGTCTCCAAAAGAGGCACTCGATACAGCACTCGAGTAAATGAGTGCAGTCGACATGACACGTGAGGTGAAAACGATGAAGATCCTTGTCGGCCAACTTCGTCGGATGAGCGTTTGCTCCACTTGCCTGGCGGAGGGCAATTTTAGTCTGCCAGGATATCCTGGCCAGAGCGAATTTCCAGATAAATGTTGGCTAAGTCAGACACATCACAATGTGCAGCCGGCGCCGAGCATCAAAATTGGTCGATGGCTTCCACCTTTCGTTCTAGACCACGCACTACGTAAGTAATAGACCGCAGAATCCACAACGACATCGGCCCAGTCAGTCAAGGCTGCAACTCATGCGGTCCCACACCATCACTTTGCTGCGCTTCAAAATCCACTCCGTCATGTCCCAGCATCCCCATCACGCCGACCGAGCCCTTTTTGCGACCCCGGTGATGTCTCATGCCCCTCCGCTTCCGAGTGGAGTGGCTTCGGCACTTTTTGGCGCTGTGCCCTCCACCTACGGACAGCTTGACGGAGCCATCCATGTCCCGGAGGGTCAGAGCGTCCCGAAAGTCAACCAGTTTGTAAGCCAACTGGGTCGGAGGAAAGGATTACTTTCGCATAGGAGAGACTACGACGCAGATCAGCTACTGGATTTGTACTTCGGCCGGCAGCCCATCAACCGTCGACGTTGCAGTCGGTCTACCCAGCCCGCCGCCACCCCCCCCTGTCACTGGTGGAGAGAGGGTAGGCCGATTGGAGACGAAATCACCTTCGAGATGAGCGATATCAAAAAGCCAGGAGCTGCCGACTGGTGCGGATGACGGGCTTGATGCAGAGTACACAGGTGACGCAGGGGAAGACACAAGGGAAGACGCCGATACGGATCCGCAACCGGCCTCGGGAGAAGATCAGCACGAGTCGAACCATCTCGAAAGAAACGCAACCACAGGAGGCTTGCGCGAAAGCCTCGCAAATTCTGTATATAGTCTGATCAACGACACCAACAACTTCGACGACGCCGAAGCTGCCAGTTCCCCAGAGACGAATATTATGACCCTTGCAGCATGCAATGCGACAAATAAGGAAAGGTCTGGACGAATCAGCGGGCTGCGGAGCTGACAGGGGTCTTTCTGTCAGGAAAGGATAGGCGACGAGGAGATCGAGTGTCAAACAAGCACAGACAGTGACTTTGGCTGGCCTGAGCTCAAGCCGCCCAGTTCAACAGACAACGGGCCGGCCGTGTCTGATTGGCTCGCAATGGATGCGGAGGAGGCCCCGGGTAGCGAAGCGTTACGCGAAAATGAAGAGCGAGAGCGATCGACGTTCAAGCGCATGCAGATAGAATGCACGCGCCAACGTCGGTTTTTCGAACGTGTGCGTGTCGAAACAGCTTTGGCTCGCGAGGCAGGTTTGTACAGTCGAGATCGCAGCACTAGGACCGCCTCGGGACGATTGGGACGACGACCGTAGGCGAAAACCGCAGCCTGACGCAGGTATGCAAGGCACCTTGGGGTTGATGGCTAGCCCGACAGTAGTCAAGTCCGGGTTTCGCGATCCGATGCGGCAACAGGTCCGCTTTTTCCAGACTCTCGCTCTGCAGTTCCGTCGTCAAACCCAAGCCGGGGCCGGGGCCGTGGGCGGCGGCGGCGGCGATGGCGGCAAGAATACCTGTACGGAGTACGTGTCAAGTGGATGACTAAGAGAGAACCCGAAAATGCTCTGTCTGACTGACCGAGCACGGTCAATATGGCACCGCTAACCTCGTCGAGAGCGATGGCAGGGTAAGTGAGTAAGAAGATCGAAAGATCAGTAAAAAAAATATATACAGGAATCGAAAGGGCACAACAAGCAATATCAAAAGCAGGCCAAGGGGCGATGAAGCAGCAGTTCGAAAGGGCAGATCTGGGGAAGGGCATGGCGATGTGAAGAGTGCACAGCCACAGACTCACAGCCACAAATCGCGGGGTAATTGCAGCACAGCCAACCCCGCTCCTAGACAAACTCGGGCCAAAGAGTCACAAAGGCCGCCCAATACTAGGCTTATCACAACGCATTCGTAAGACGAACGGTGCCTCGCTACAGTAACACCAACTCATGGCCCATTGAGATTCGATTTTGAACTTTGAACAACATCGCGTTCCCTAACGCTGATGCGCTCATTCTACCTCTATTTGCTGCCAGAATGGCTGGCAAGCGGCCGCCAGTAACTTTGCCTCTAGAACCAGCCCAGGCGTAACACCCAAGAACAGCCCACATGATGCTCAAGCTATGTGTTTCGGTTGACATAAGTTTCTCTGGACGGTCTCTTCGTCGCGGTGTCGTCTCTTCAGCTCCACACAGAATTAAAAACAGGGCTTCTAAGAGAACAGAAAACGGCTTCACATCGCAGTTGATCCGGGGACATCTATTCGAAGTCAGACGTGGGGTTCGACCGTAGCCAGATGTTGCGCTGGCTGGTTAAGGCAACGCCGGAACTGGCTTACACATGATCGCTTCCTAGGTTAACGACTAATTACCGGCACGGCTAGCTGTTCTGAGTATCGAGATGAGCGCTCCATTACTAGCGGAGACCCTGAGATCGAGCATCTGACCGTGGCACCACACAATGATGAGTATGAAGCAAGTTTAGGCCCGAAAGTGTAAAAGATATTCTTGCCGTTTAAGCACACAGGATAGATAAAAGCGTCTTCGTTGGCTACTACTATACAGTATATATGTAAACATCTCCTCGTCTGGATCGTACGTCGCTCTCACCTTGATAATCATTATCTTCAGCGAAAATGACAACTTTTCGGAACCATGTCTTCACCGCGTTGGTTGTCAACACTCTCTTGATGGTTCACACTGTGCTTGGTCAACTCAACTGTGACTTGTTACATCCGAGTGGTCTTCAATGGGACGTGTTTTACGGTCGGGACTACAATGTTGTATCTGAATTCTGTAACCAGCAAGAACGGGACGAAGCAAATGCTTTGAGTTGGAAGCTGGATATCAACGGCAACAGACAGCAGCCAGAAATGGAGGAACGCAGCCCGCCGGTCACTCCGAATACCTACAAAGACTACGAAGTGGACCTCAAATGGACGCCACACAACGGTTTTGTCTCTGGTTCATGTTCCAAGAGCTGCTCGAGGACGTACCAGGAAATAGCTCAGAGTCACTGTAAGCCCACGGAAGATATGATCTTTTCCCCTCATGTTATGATTGACATTTATCAAAAGGTGGTCATGCGGGCGGTGAGAGCAACGCGATGGCTAAAAACGGGTCTTGGGACATTGGTTGTGGGCAGTATTCGTGGTTCGTTACCCAACCGGACCATTCCTCACCGACTATCTCGTATGAGCCAAGTCGCCCTATTCGTACCGAAGATTCGTCCTCCAGAATTGCAACGGAGACGGTAATGTGGTACAGTAGCTTGTCGCCCTGATCCTCAAGATAGCACACAGCCAAGTCGGTTGTGGCTGCCAGATTCTTTCTGACCAGGCAGGCTCGTCCAACGTTGGGAATATCGAAAACCCAGGAGGAGAATTGCAATGGTGCACACCCAGGCCGACACTGGGACGTACAGGGGCGTCCGCTCCCATCGCATAGAGACCCACATGTATATAGCCTTAGGTAGCGCTCATTGACAAACAGTCCGTGATCATGGCCCATAACGGTGGGCCACCACTCTCACAAACACTCTCAGTACCAATGCTTGTTTGTTGCACTCTCCCCCTTCTTTCCCTAGTTACTGCGTTATGGCAAGCAAGCCTACGCTTAGAGGGAATCTGGTGTCGAAATCACGGGTGTCGATATGCCGATTTGTGAGCCCTTGCGTATAGACAGGTTCGAGATTGTTTTCGAAGTTTTGATTGAGGGCTTAAGATCTGCGAATGTTTGTGGATCCTCTTGCTGATAAACGGAGATCCTCGCATGGCGTCAGTGTTGCTACGACACGGTGCACAGCTGGAAGTGGCAGTTTCGCGGAGAGTCGTAGCCACGACACTACGCCTGGCCGAGGCCACCAATTATCGGGGGTTGGTCACTGTGCTGACAAGAGAGCCTAAGCTTCTAACCGTACTCCAAGCTTTGTATGCTCACTGCTTCCACGCGCCGCTCAAAAGCAGTGATTCTACTGCTTCCTTGTTTCTTCGAGAGTTGCCACGGGCATTCGTTCGTCTTGTAACGGAGATGCTCAAGCAAACCATCAGTTTGACAAGGATTGAGGTCTTCAAAATGATAAAGCTGCATGCAAGAGGAAACCCACACAGCGGGCTGATTATCTCCGGTCTGTTCTCCTACTTAAGGAATACGGAATGGCTGCGAAAGATGAGACGAGGGAACGACCAGGGACACGATTTTGAATATGGTGGTTCCTACTGTCATAGAGCGAGTCATCTGTATCGAAGCCATGGTAGCAGAGCCCGGGGGGTTGTAGAATGACTCAGTGCCGATAATGTGTCCCAAACGTGTTGCGTGGCTCACGGTGTTGGTATAGATGAGTGCCAAGTTGGTAATGCAGTCATCCCGTTATCATCCAGAACCGGCTTTCACCGGGGTCATTCTAGCAGTGTCTCAACATGAGCGCCGAGCTGAGGGGAGGCCGCCTTCATGACAACCCGGCACGGCTAGTTGTCCACGCAGTACCATGTTGCCGTAAGCGACCATGCTTGCATCTATTAGCCTATGAAAGACCTTGTATCAGGGCAGAGCCTTGGAGTGGCGTTTGATACGATGTTCAGCAGCGCGCTCATCTGCTTGCTCATCGTGCATCAACGGCGACAGGGCCTGGAGCATGCGTCCGATCGCGTCTCAGGACTAACGGGGTAATAGGCGTAATCACTGAGCTAAGCGGTAGGGATGGAACGGCATAGATGATGTGCAAAGCGGCGGTGAATCTCCAGATCTATAAGAAAGCCAAAACCCGCCACACAACTTCATGCGTTTCTCTTCTTTCTCTATCATTCACAGCATTAACCCGAATTCGAAGATGACTGTCATTGACCTTACCAACGAAAGCGAGGACGAGGTCGGGGTCGAGATCGAGGTCGAGGGCGAGGAGCTTTCATACTTTTGCTCTTGGTGTTATGCAACCCTCCAAGAGAATATCTTGCTTTCTGGTTGTTCATGCGTTTGTTCCCCACGCCCGGAATCAAGGCTTGACTAAACACATGCTCAGGTCATTTGTCCGACATGCTGCAACAACTACCGAGAATACAACGGGACCGTCGAAGTGTACTGTTCTAAACAAAACCACTCGCGCCATGGAGGTCAGCAGGTCCGAAAGATCTACGAGTTGGCCTGCGCCATTTGCCAAGAAGATAGCCTACACAAGCCTCTACAAGCCATTTCGTGCGGTAAGTCTAATCCCGTTACTCGACACCAAGGTTCTGCAGGCTTACTTGGTTTCAAGGTCACGTATTTCACACCGAATGTCTTCAACCCCTTGGGCCAGAACTCGCAAAGATGTGTCCTTACAGATGTGGTAAAGGAAAAAGTTGCCTTGTGGCTCCTACCAGTCGGTTGGAGAATCATGACGGCAGTATGAAAAGAAGAAAGTTCTTAACAAGCGAGTATCATAATCGGAGACTGATGAAGAAACGAAGAGAGGAACGGAGTAGGCATATCCAGAAGATATTGGATGACGAAGAGGAGGAATTGAAGGAGTGGAAAGCTCGGACCATGGCAACATTACGCGATCTAGAGCGGCGACTTGCTATTGCACAGGAATCTTTCTGCAAAGGCACGCTTGAAAACAGGACGTTTGCCACAAGTCTCCTATGACGATACGTGTATCCTAATTCATATATTGATAGTTGCTTCCAACCTTGATTTCTTTTCTGCAAGTAGCTGCGTAGAGTATTCTTGTTCTCTGACGTAGTCTTAATAAAGGAATATCTACTGCTTATGTGCTGCATGTCTTCACCCGCTCCTGCTTGTACCGCTATAGCCCTAGTATCGGCGTTTAAGGAATTGGCCTTCGTCCGGCTTAACGCTTCCTTCTCTGCAGGTGCGCCAATACGGAGAGGAATTCCAATTCTGAAAGCGTCCTGCTGAGAGGTATGAAAAGCCGCATATAGGCTAAAGTCGTGAAAACTGCATTGCTTGATCTTGCGATGGAAGATCTTCGTAGTTTTCCTCGCCACCGACACGGCAGTTGATAAATTGCAAGCCACTGGCCGCCACGCCACCGACACTGTCTCGGGGAGAATACTTTGTTCACATTGTCTATAATCAAAATGCTGTGAGGAACCAGACCAAAGCAGGGCTTGCAGAGAAGGAGTAGTAAGCGAGTGGAAAGAGCAGGTGCTATAAGTTTCTGATGAGTTCACAGGGCGCGCTGATGCCTCAGCATGGCCGCCCACCAACGACGACAAACTTCGCGTTTTCGGTCTACTATATCCACTGCGGTTAGGCATCAAAATGCACTGGCGGAAACTTTCAACGAGAAGGTCTTATCTGCTTCTTAGTGGGGTCTGTAGTACTGCATAATACAATTCTGGCCAATGCTGCATGCTGTCCTTTATCAGATGGTTCGATAGGTAGTTGAGGTCCCTGATCGAACAATTGACAGAGTCAAACCTCAGACTCTGTCTACAATCGTTACCCCAGGCAACCCAACGGGCTGGCCTTTACCGTCATCCACACAGCTACAGCTGCCGTTACCATGAAAAGTGATCCGGATACTAGGCCGAGAAGAGCAGCATACTGCCA